ATCTTTCGAGGTCCCTTCCACTCCCTAACATGCTGTGATTCTGTGATCCCTTAACTGTGATAAGGAATACTTCTCTTGGGAAGGAAGAAGGGAAAGAACCTTCTGCAGAAGACAGGGCAGGGGGAAAGGATGCAATAGGACCAGAAATATTCTCTAGAAGCAGCTATCATGCATAAAAAGCAAAAAAAGGTGGTTACAGGACTGAGCAGAGGGACCACACAGAGGGAGACTGGAGCAACTGGTTATCAGAATCATCTTTATCTACTCAACCCAGAAGACCCTTGCTAGAGCTGTGTATCTGACCTAAAACAAAAGTTGCCTATGCCATCACATTTTTAAAGTATGTTTTTATAACTCTACTGAAGTAGCATCATTTTCTTCAGCAGAAGTACTGCTGATGCTACAGATGATATCCAGCAAATGGAGATAAGGCACATTCCACAAGAGCCTAGTAGCCTCGGTGCTCCAGATGCAAATACACAAGTGACAGGGTTAATTTTCTTCCTAGTAGCCAGAAAGCACTTTGGTTTCAGTGAGGATTGTTACGAGAACAATGTTGATAACTACAAGGACACCGTGCTTGGGCAGTTTCCAAGAAGAGAGGACTGGAATAAGATATTCCATATCATATTTCATCATGTTCAGTATATTAACCAGGGCTGACCGGAAAGGGGGGAATCCTCTCAGGAATTGCCCAGGCTCGCTTTTCCGGGATTGCGATTTCGGTTTCAGGGTTTCTTTTTAAAGCTCCTCCGGGATCGTTATCAGGGGCTGATGAGCAATTGTATTCTGCATCACTCATACATATATCTTTGTTATTATTATTACTCTTATTATTTTTATTTTACTCTAATTATTAAACTGTTCTTATCTCAACCTACTAGTCTCCTGCCCTTTACCCTCAAATTCTCTCCCTGATTCCCTGGGTGGGGGCTGAGAGTGGTTGTGTCTTGTTTGGCTGCCAGCTAAGTTAAACTATCACAAGCAGCTAGTTCAGCCTTCAAGAAATCAATTATTTTATACTCAAGGTTATACCTTTAGTAGTTTGCATTTGATCTTAGCCAAATTTTCAAGAAAATACATAAATGGTCAACTTAATTCTGCTCTTTCACCTCCTCTAAATACAGATTTATTTTTACAGAGGCATCAAGCCAAGCTGAGGTACCTCAAGAAAACCTTTGCTATTTCTTTGGAAAACTTGTGAAATAATTTCTGAAGTATATATGTTCAGTAACTTGAAGTGCACAGGATGGATGGGTTTTCTAGAACTCCATTAGCATTCAAACTATCTTTAAATAATGAGTCCTAAAAATAATAATACAAGCAAATAATATCAGCACACTTCAATTCCCTTAGCAGCTGTATGTTTTAAGGTACATTTTTACTGGTGTCAATTCAAGTTATGCAAGCTTTTTCTTTTTGTAATAAAGTTATTTTCATGTGAAAGGAGCAGTGGTATCAGTACGTTAGTTAAGATGTGGTTTCATTTTCTTACACAGATGCAGAAGAACTGTATTTTACTATTTTAAATTCAGTTATTTTTGTGTGATGTTAGTTAAGATATGGTTTCATTTTCTTACACAGATGCAGAACTGTATTTTACTATTTTAAATTCAGTTATTTTTGTGTGATAAAAATGTGTAGGTGTCTTGAAAGAAGTCAAGACATTTTACAGAATAACAAACTCTAAGAAAGCATTTCAACATAACTAGGGTCAAAAGACATCCAATGTGAGTATTAAGAATGCTCGAGGCTAAACCATTTTATTTTGATATTCTACTGCTGTAAATTGCTTCTAGAAAATCTGGTTACAATTAAGTTCAATTCTCAAGCAGACAGATAAAAATTTAAATGTCTCTTTGGAAACCAACCAAAAAAAAAAAAAAATCTTTATATGACCAAAACTATTTTCTCAAGAGGAAAGACAAAGCAATGAACAAAGAAAACTTCAAAGGCAAAACCCACCAAGAATAGGTATAAAGGCTTTTAAAAAACACTCTCTTTCAACACATCAGAGCAGTACAACATTTCATGTACACTCACATATGAGTCAGACCTCTCCTGAGGGAGGCTACTCTCTCTCCCCCAAAACTAAAGTCAGACTCAAGGTGTTTTATTGCCCGCCCTAAGAATTAGGTTCCGAAAGTGAAGCCACACCTCTGATGTAAATTTCAAGGTTTGTGTTGGCTGTTTGTTTTTTTTTTTTTTTCTTAAATCACAATCTTGAACAGAGAAAGTATAATTAATAAAAATTAAAAACTTCATACAAACCTTATGATCCACTGATCTGCCTTTTGACTAAGAAAACAAATTATTATGAGACGTAAAAGTGGCACATTTTCAGTATTTTTTCAGTGATGCACATTTACACTCCACTATCACCCACCATATTTATGAAACCAGACACACTCAAAGCTAAGCATTAAAATCAATTAGGAAAAAAGTCAAAATCGAATCCGCAATGTGGTATTATTTTGAACTTCATACGCTCTCTCCTTAAGAATCCTCTTTTAATTTATTACAGTAACATAAAATACAGAGCCTGTCCAGACTAGGAAAAGTAACTTGCTACAGACAGACACAAGCTGATCACTGTCCTCTTGATATGTATTGAGAATGACTGGTTAGTAGCTTAAACAAGACAGCACTGGGGAGAAGGGGGGAAAATCTACATACATTTACATTCTACTTCAGTAGTAGTCTGAAGGCTCTTGAGGTTCTCCAATACATGAGTAGGGTCTCAACTGAATGTACAAGTATGTGCTTGAAACAGACACCAAGAGTTCTCGTCATACCAAGCAATAACTCACAGACCGAACACCAGGAGATGGCGCTGACAGCAGATGTTGAAGAATCATCTACACCTGAAGAGAAGCAGTCTTTAACAAGTTCTTAACATTCCTCTAGGTTCAGTTTCTCTGAACTTTTTCCCTCTGAAACCTCGAGACACTTCCTGCTTTAAGAGCACTGTCCACATGAAAGTCTGAAAAATGTTCTGATGGGCATGTATTTCAACTTCTTTTTGCCTCCTTTGCAGGAACAAGGAGGCATCTCCCTAGCAAAGGAAGACTATGAGAACTCCGTTCTGTCTGCCCCTCACTGTCTTCCTTTCCACCTGGCTCAGCTGCTGTATTTCTTGGTAAATGGCCTTAATATTCTTCCTCTTTTCTTCCTGCAGAGCCATCTTTCAGACTATAGCAGCTGCCTACCACACCAGGAGCAGCAACTGAATGAAGAAAAGTTGCAGTGCAGGTCTGCAATTCAGTGTTATTAGAAACAAATGGAACATTATGCACTTTGGGTGTTTAGATTTCTGATGTTCCAGCTGATGCATCACTATTATTATAGGTTGGAGGAGTGGAAGAGGGCCCACGCTTTCCTTCAGCTCAGACAACACTTACTACATGGATAATGTACTGTTCTAACCCTAATTCTTTTATTTTTTTTAAGAAAAAACACAAACTACTGGAATCTATTACTTTTTTTAACTTTTTTTTTTTTCCTTTCTTTATTACACATCATTCAATCTCTCATGAAATCAAGATGGTTAGCTGGATGACACAGGAATATACACTGCTGAGTTATTACAACAGTAATTTTACACCATCTGGAAAAATAGCTGTACAACAACTTTCCAGACACCAAGTTTCTTACATTAAAGATGACAGACCACTATTGATTCTGATGTTGAGCAAATACCAAACTTAATTCACTAGTGGGAAAAAAAAAATTCCAAGTTAATAAGCTGCAGATTACATTCTCCGGGTTTTCTTCATTCATTGTTCTTGTAGTGAAGTTATCCATTAAAAAGTAAATAATTATTTTTATTCTCAACAAAATTTTAAAGCTACCAGAAAGCCAAAACAAACAGAGAGGGGGAGGAGTGAAGACTACAGCAGTCATTAACATACACTTATGTGCACTACAGAAAAAAACATCTTTAGCTTCTGTTTTCACCTTAACAGACAAGAAGGAGACCATTATTAAGACAAAGAAGTTGACTAGAGTTCATCCTAAAGCCTTATCAAATCATACAGTCCAACCAACCACCATATATTTTTATCATTTTAATGATAAATCATGTGAATTTTTGTAATCAATGAATACAGCAGAAAATACTTCTGGGTTTTTTTGGACACCAGAGAAGCCAGTAGTGCTATAAAACTCACGGTATACAGATTCACCACATCAATTGCCAAAGTCTTAACAGAGTTATTTAACCAGCTCAGAGCAGTTCGACTCTGCCCAGCTACTGAATGTACCAGTCTACTTCAAGACAGAGATTCTTAGAAGAAGAATAATGGGAAATTAAATATGAAAACTACAAATTTCTTATGGAAACAAAGTTTTCTTTTGGGTGCATGTAGAATCCCTATTATGGAGAAATACCAAACTATGGAGAATCAGTATTTTGAAGTAGAGGGTGCAGAGAGAAGATTCAGTCCTTTATAAACTTATCAAAGAAATGCACTAGGGTTTGCACGGGGATCCTTTTGGTTCCTGTATCTATATGTCAGCCAGACTCCCAGAATCTAAAAACAAAAAACAAAGATGTTATTAAGCAGAGGGTCTCCACTCCATCTTCCATCAGTTTTACATAATTTTTTTTAAACATAAAATCCCAACAATGAATTTCCAGAACACAAGCTTAGGATATTTTACTATTGCTAAAATAGCACAACCACACACCAGTTTTCTTCATTAGAAAAAAGAGTGCACCTTCTCAGAAAGAATTCATACCTAGCAACAGAGAGAACAAAACAAAAAAGCCAAAACTCTATGCACAATGCAATGTACAGTATTTCCCACGGGCATGCCTAGTGTTAAATTATTCTGCCCTCTTCCCAGATGATAAATATCATAAACCTGTTTTTAGAGTAATTATAAACAAATCCTCCAAATGGTTTCACTTTATAGTTACCATTTAACTATAAGGCTATTTTTCTAGTACAATTTCAAATCTTCTCACTCTTGCCCAACCACCTCCCCCTCCCC